CGGGATGCATCTCTGGCACACTCCTTTCCTGATCTTGAATCTTGTGGTTCATCCTTGCTCTGTTCTGATGACTACATCCTGGTCCAAATATAGGTTTTGCATAAGCACAGTCAGGTGTTCTGGGATTCCCATTCTCCTCAAGGTTGGCCATAATTTGTTGTGATCCACACAGTCAAATGCCTTTGAATGAAACACAGACATTCCTCAGGTACTCTGCTTTCTACCAAGATCCATCTGACTTTGATGATAATCTCCCTAATGCCACTGCCTCTTCTAAACCCAGCTTGTATTTCTGGTAATTCTCTGTCAATGTTCTGTTCCAGTCATTATTTTATAATCTTCAGCAGGATTTTGCTTGTGTGTGAATTAGTGATATTGTCCTGTAATGTTCACCCTGTCAGGTCACCTTTTTTTAGAATGAGAATAAATATGGATATCTTCAGTCAGCTGGCCAGGTAGTTGTCCTCCAGATTTCTTTGCACAACCTAGTAAGCATATTCAGAGCAGCATCTGTTTGTTGAAATATGTCAATTGGCATTCCATCAATTCCTGGGGCTATATTTTTTGCCAAGTCCTTCAGAGTAACCTGAACTTCCTCCTTCATCACCATTATCTCTTTTCTAAAAAAATAATTTATTTACAAAATTTGAATACATTTTTTTTCACAAAAGATCCTTCCCATTTCCTTCACCCCACCCACCCATCGTATTGTGCAACCCTATGATTAACACCCTACCCCCTCATCCTCACCTCTCTATTCCCACCCTTTCCCCCCACCCCCAATGGCTTGGATCCTCATACTCATTCTAGAATGATGCTTTTATACAATGTTTGTCCTTATGGGACTGAGTTCATTTAGCATAATGCTCTCTAGTCCCTCCCAAGTTAGGTAGTAATTTACAAAATTATTGCTCCTATGTGCTGCATAGTATTCCATTATATGAATGTACCATAGCTTCTCAGTCCATTCGTGGTAGGACATCTGAGTTGTTTTCATGTTCTTGTGATGATGAATAACGCTGCTGTGAACATTGGTGTACAAGTTTCCATTTGAGCCTCAGTTCTCATTTTCTTGAGGTATATTAGAATTTTCTGCCAAGAAAACAAACAATTCATCGTAGAGAGGATTAAACCAGGCTGCTCCTTGGAGGCAAGGATTCTGGGGCTTCGTCTGACATACTTTGGACATGTTGTAAGGGGAGACAGGTCTTTAGAAAGGGACATCATCCTGGGTAGAGTGGAGGGACAGCGCAGGAGGGGAAGACCCTCTATGAGGTGGATTGATTCAGTGATGGTTAATCGGGATGGGTGTGTCAGAGGCAAAGAGATTGGCACAGGATAGAGCACGGTTTATTAGGGCTGTTGTACATAGGGTCGCTATGAGTCGCAAACGACTCGACGGCACATAACAACAACAACAACAACATATTCGAAGTAATGGAATATCTGGGCCATAATCACCATTACCTCTTGATCATATGTTGTTTCTTGAAATTCTTCTGAGTCAGCCAGTTCTTTTTGGTGTTAAGAGTGGTGAAAATTATGATCTGAGGGAATTTATTTGTTGAGATAAATTATGAACTTGAGCTATTTTAATGATTCTAAGGTATTTAATATATGAAAATTTCTGATAATAAAGTTTCTGATATATGTTTTTCTAAATTTTATTCTATACTGGTTTACATTCAAAATTCATAAAATTAATATACCTTAGTTTTCACATTAGATCTTTCCCCTTTCCTTTATCCACCCCTCCCTCCACCCATCAAATTGTGTGACCCTATGATTAAGGCCCCCCTTCCCCTCCTTAGATCCTCGTACTCATTCTACAATAATGGTCTTATACAGTATTTGTCTTTATGAGACTTAGTTCACTCAGTACAATGCTCTCTAGTCTCTCCCATGTTAGATAGTAATTTACAAAGTCATTGCTCCTGCATGCTGTATAGTATTTCATCATGTGAATGTACTATAATTTCTCAATCCATTCTATTGTGGTTGGGCATTTGGACTGTTTCCATGTTCTTGCTATGGTGAATAATGGTGTTATGAACATTGGTGTACAGATCTCTGTTTGTGACTCAGTTCTCATTTTCTCAAAGTATATTCCAAGCAGTGGAATAGCTGGGTCATATGGGATTTCTATGTTCAGCATTTTGAGGAAACGCCAAATTGTTATATGTTTTTAATCTTCCTATAAATTGATGGACTTAGATTCAGATATGTGGTAATACAATAAATAGTGACTCTCTTGGTTAAATGGCTTCTGGGCACAATATCCACAATTTTTATTTTTTACTTATATTCTTAAAAGCATAGCATCAATTCTCTGTTATTTCTGCTATCTTGTTATTTCTTTTAGTGCTGCTTAAAAGCTTGTAAAATGAGATGGTAGGGGGTAAAGGTTTTGTTTTGATTCAGTTAGAGGGAGAATGAGAAACGTAAAATTTTCATACATATGGTTATTAAAAGTTATTCATGATTGTAAAATATTTTGTTTTGCTTGTAAAAGCAAGCTGCCAGATTCCTAAAGTGCAATATTATTTAAATAAAAATGTTAAGTATGCAGAATGATATTATACATTGCTTAGGAATATATGGATATGCTGAAAGAATATGGTCATGCATGAAGAAATCATACAACCAGATTTAGGATACTAATTGTCTTTGGAGACAAAATGATTAGAGGGAAATATTCCAAGGTGTGTCTACTGTGTCTGCAATATTTCTTTTCTGTGCTGAATATAGTGTGGGGGTAAGTGCTTTCTTCTTTTCTTGTCCCCGTACCTATTTATCTATCTGAAATATCTCTTAATTTTAAAAACTGAAGATGAGAAAAAGGATATATGAGGTATATATTTATGATACTAAACTTCCATGAAAAGGTCTTAAAGCTCAAATAGTATCATTTCTCACCCATCCTGGACCCCTACCATCTAGTTCTGCTTCCCAGAAGTGAAAATTTTGCTTTTTTTTTCTTTTTTAAATCCTTCCAGGACTATGTACTTAAATGGTATGTGTATAAATTATTTTCCCACCTTAAAAAAGAAAATAGAACCAAAAATACTTTTATCTCTTTTACATAAATAGCTATATTCTCAATATAATTTTACACTTTGCATTTTTCTTAGTAACTCTCTGAGCTTTGATAAATGTCAATAGTTGTAGAGGCCTTTTGTTCATAGGATTGCTCTTAGTTGTGCTCAACTCGAGGCAATCAACAACAGCAACAACAATACATGTTAGATATTAGCAACAATCACCACATAAAATGTTTTTTAACAAAAATAGATCCAACATTTTATCAGTAATAATTACAGTTATCTCTACCAGTACATTCTAGCCATCCCACTAATAAGCTTAAATATTTTGCTGCCCCATAGCCAGAAGCTCAGCTTTCTCCATGATTTCTCTTTCCAAATAATCCTAAGGCTTCGCAGGGGTGCCTTCATAGGTAACCTGACAGAGCTGTAGGCACTTCCAGTTTGTGGGTGCTGTGTAAGATCATGTTTCCCTTGGGAGATGAGGAGAGAGGAAATTTGGCCCTGAAGTACTTGCATTTGGATCCACTGCCCTGCAGTGTGACCTTGGGTAAATTGCTTAACTCTGCTGTGTAATTTCTTAATTGGTAAAATGCACTTAATATTCTCTTTTGCTCTGAGTTGTAGTGTGAGTTAAGTGAGTGAGCAGTTCTTGCTAAATCTCAAACCAAACCCATTGTCATCAGGTAGATTCTGACGCATAGCAACTCTATGGGGACAGAGTAGAGCTGCCCATAGGATTTCACATCTTTCCCCCACAGAGTGGCTGAGGGGGGTAAAGACCATGCTTTGGGTTAGCAGCCATGTGCTTGACTGGTACACCACCAGGACTCCCTGCACAGCAGCTTGTGGATTCAAACCGCCCACCTTTGATTTCGGAGTGCAACTCCCTACCTACTTAGCCACCAGAGCTCCTTATATTAGGTATCACTCAGTTATCTGTTCCCAAGTTACCACTCACCTCCAGATCCTGACCCCCTGCTCCCATAGCCAACCTCCTTACACTTTCCTTACGATGAGTGGGGAAGCCTCATTGTCGTCTCAGGATCTGCTCTCTCAGAGGTCACCCAGCACAGCAGTGCCTTTTCTACCACAACCACCAGGTCTCTCTTCACAGCTGGGCTGGGAAGGTGACACACAGCCTCCCACCTCCCTGGAGCTGTGGCATGCTTGAATATCCAGGCCTTGCTACTCATACTGGGCTACTGATTAGACTTCTGCATGCTCTTCCTTATGCATGGTTTCCCCACTGAAGCCCACCTGTTACATCCTGCATGCTACTTGCATTAGAAATTTGTTCTTATGTATCTGACTCTAGTTGAGGTCAGTATTTCAGATTTTTCTCATGAGGTTTCTGGAACACTTATAAGTCAAAAGGTGCAGCTACGCATCAGGGTTCCTGAACTTCCTGTGACTGATAAATTCCTCAAACATTCAGTTATAGTTTGGAGGCCAGTGTCCCAAGAACACACAGGGCTCTCAGGCAGTAGTGACAGTTCCAGCCTAGGCAGAATGCCCTGGTACATTATTAGCATTTGCAGCTAACATTTGAATAGTACTTTCCAGTGAACTTTTTACATAAGTAATATAATTTTAACTCAGATCCGTATCACACTCTCATTTTTCCAATAAGGAAGCAGATCAGAAACATTGCAGTGGTGTCTCTAGAAAAAGGCGGGCTGACTTTGGGGGGTTTCGGTTACTGTGTCTTTCATATAACAAGCTCCCTTTCAACAAGTGAAAAAGGGTCATGTTTTACTATCAGCAGAGTTTATATCAGCTGTGATAACAGAGGCATTTAACATTAACTAGGTTTAGGGTGAAATTAACAGTAGTGAAGGCATTTTGAATAGCTGCATTTAAATGGACGCCTCCTTGCTGCTTTATAGGTGTATGTGAACTGTAGCCCGTGAAAGCCAAACCACACGAGAAACTCCTGTCTGTTGTCATTTGTCGCAGAGCCACAATGGACACCGCCAGCCATAGCCTTGTCCTCCTGCAGCAGCTGAACATGCAGCGGGAATTTGGGTTTCTGTGTGATTGCACAGTTGCTATTGGAGATGTTTACTTCAAAGCCCACAGAGCAGTGCTTGCTGCTTTTTCTAACTATTTCAAGATGATATTTATTCACCAAACAAGGTAAGGATGTGTTTTTGTAAATGAGAAGAATTTTTAATTCCGCATGAATTCATTAGAACGTCATTTTGTGGCCTTTTCTTGTTGTTGTTATGGGAAACTTTAAGGAAAAAATATAATTACTTTTGAATATATATTTACATAATTACTTTTAAACATCTGTAATTAAACATCTCAATCTATGGTAGAAGATAAGAATGCTAAGAGCTAAAATGTGTCTAAGCCTTGTACCCAAGCACTGAGTATTTTTCTTTATGTAAACAATCCTGTTATCCCTATTTTGGCTAAAAAGAAGTGGAGACTGAGTTGTTAAACAATTTGCCCATCCATGATTCTAGTACCAGCAGTCAGGAGATCAGAAGACATAGTGTACTGGGAAAGTCTGTACTGTATGTCTGTCGGAGACCTTTCCAAATTATTGAGGAGTATTGATGTCAGATTGAGGACTAAGGTGCACTTAAGTCAGATCATGGTCTTTTCAGTCACTTGCTGTGTACATCTGAGAGCTGAACAGTGACTAAGGATGACAGAAGAAGTGATGCCTTTGAAGAATGTTGAAGATCCCATGGACTGCCAAACGAACAGATAATGTCCTAGAGAAGGTGCAGCCAGAGTGCTCCTTGGAGCCAAATATGATAAAGCTTCATTCATAGATTTTGAGCATGTTGCTAGGAGAGGTTATTATTTTGGAAAAGGACATCATTCTTGGAAAGGTGGAGGTGTGGTGAAAAAGAGGAAGACCCTCGGCCAGGTGGGTTGACATGGTTACTGCAGCAGTGGGCTTGAGTGTGTCAGAGAATTGTGAGGATGACATAGCATAGGGCAGTGTTGTGATTGGTTATTCATAGGTCACTATGAGTCATACTCTTCTCAACAGTACCTAACAACGACAACCCACAATTACAAAGCTAATACGTTGGACTCAAATGCAGATATGTCTAGAGCATCTGTTCTTAATCATTTAGGTGATTTTGTAATGCTTAGCAGCCCTATTAAGGATCACTTGGGGTTCTCCAGATGTTGCAAAGGACAGAAAGGCACATTGTAAGGGAAGGAAGAATGCATGAAAATCTATATAAATATTTTGTAGGTAAGAACAGTCAGAAAATTGAGTGGAACACATGATTGGCATGCACAGAACGTAGAAGAGAATGGAGGTGAGAGTAGGGGCAACTGGTCATAGTTGCCTTTTCGTCCATGCCAGAGAGCTTCCTTTTAACCTGTCAGCACAGACCACCTTCACCCTATAAATACTACCTTCACATCAGTCTCCTTGTATAGCTGTGAGCGGTTCAGCCCTCAACACACCTTCTGTGGTCCAGACATAATGCTCAGCTTAACTCTGAAGATACAGAGGTGACAGGCCTGCTGTGAGCTTCCTTTCCTTGAAACACCTAGAATCCTTTGCACAGAATTCTGTGCTGCTATAAACACCCCTATCGCAGAGTGTGTAAGGGGATGGGTCAGAGCCAAAAGTGGACTCCAAGGGAGGAAGAGACAATCCCAAGATATCAGTACTTGAGGAGTAGAAGGCCTGCACAGTGACACCCGGTGTAAAGGAGGCACTGACATGCAGACTTCTGCTTGAGGGCAGGTAAGTATTAGGTCATTGTTCTTGATACTTCCCTCAAATTGTCTCAATTCTGATTTTTCAGGGGGGGTTCAAATTTTTTTGTTACAGTCATTCCATTTATTATCTGAATTCTAGATTAATATGTAAAAAGGTAGTTTGGGAATAATTTTAGATCTTTTCAAAGTTCTACTCGTATTGATTTGTGATTTAAAGCAAAGGTACCGTAGTAGCACATTTTGGAAGCTAAGATGTTGTAGTTGTGTTAATAAATGCTGTTGAGTTGGCCGTGGCTCATAGTGACCCTTGTGAACAACAGAACAAGGCCCTGCCTGACCTTTCGCCATCCATCTATCCATCCTCACCACCTCTGCAGATCTGAAGCCCATTGTCCAGTCATTGCATCAGTTATCTCTTTGCTCATTCTCTTGTTCACTGACCTTCTGTATCTCTGAACATGATGTCCTGATCCCTCTTGACAACATGTACAAAGTATGTGACAAAGCTTCACTATCCTCACCTCTATGGAACATACTGGTTGCACTTCCTCCAAGATAGATTTTGTTCTTTTGGTGGCCCAAGCTATAGTCCATATTCTTCATGAACGCCATAATTCAGAGACATCAGTTCTCCTTAATCTTTCCTTATTCATTGTCCAGTTTCCACATGCATGGGAAGCAACCAAAATCTCCATGGAAGGAGACTGCCCATCTGTCTCCCTGGGTGTCACTGGTCCAGTGAAGATTCTTACTTTCTTTAACCTTTAGTCTTTAAAATGACGTCATTGCTTTTTGGACACTTTTAAGGGGTTCTTGATAGCAGAGTGCCCATTGCAATACATTGTATTCTTGACTGCTGCTTCCATAGGTATTGCTTGTGGAGCCAAATAAAAAATACTTGACTGCTTCAATCTCTTCTCTATTATGATGTCTTTTAGTGGTTCAGTTGTGGTGTTTCTTATTTTCTTGATTTTGAAATATAATCATACTGAAGGCCATCTTAAGTCTTTGATCATCTTAAGTAAATAGTACTTCAAATCTTCTTGACTTTCAACAAAGGTGATTGTTGTTGTTGTTATGTGCCATTGAGTTGCTTGCAACTCATAGCAACCCTGTGTACAACAGCCCTGAAACCTTCTCTATCCTGTGCCAACTTTACTATCTCTGACACACCTACCCTTATTTCCCCAGTCACTGAATCAATCTATTTCATTGATGGTCTCCCTCTCTTTCTCCTCTCTCCACCCTTCCAAGCATGATGTCCCTCTCCAAGGACTGGTCCCTCCTTGCAATATCCCCAAAGTATGTCAGACAAGGTCTCAAAGTCCTTACCTCCAAAGAACAGCTTGGTTTCACCCTCTCCAGGATGAGCCCGTTTGTTCTCCTGACAGTCTATGGTATATTCAACACTCTTCTCCAGCACCACAGCTCAAAAGCATCAATTCTCTTTCTATCATCCCATGTCGTTGTCTAGCTCTCTAACGCATAGCAAGCAATTGCAAAGACTGTGGCCTGGATCAGGCGCACCTTCATTTCCAGACTGGCGTTGTTGCTCTTCAGTACTTTAGAGAGGTTCCTGACAGCAGACTTTCCCAATGTAATTTGTCTCTTGATTTCCTCACTGCTGGTACGAATAGTGTTGATTGTGGACAAAGGTGGTATCATCTGCCTGTATCAGCTTATTGATGAATTTTCCTCCAATCTCCATGTCACATTCTTCTTTATATAGTCCAGCTTCTCAGATTCCTTGCTCAGAATTGAATAGGTATCGTGAAAGATTACAACTCTCATGCACACCTTTCCTAATTTTAAACCATTCAATATCCCCTTACTCTGTTTGGGTGACTCCTTTTTTAGTCCATAGACAGGTTCCTCATGAGCACAAATAAATGTTCTAGAATTTCCATGCTCCTTGGTGTTATCCCTAATTGATTATGACACACAGTAAAATGCCTTTACATAGTCATTAAAACAAGTATGTATCTTTATAGTATACTCTCCTTTCAACCAGTAGCCATCTGACATCAGCAAAGATACCTTTATTTCCATGACTTCTGAATCCAGCTTGAATTTCTGGCAGTTTGCTATTGTTTGTTATATTGCTCCATCTCTTTTTAAATACTATTCAGCAATATTTTACTTATATATAGTAGTGCTTAGCAGTGTCTATATTCCTGTGGATATTTTTTAATTAGTACAACTACAGATCTCTTCTGTTTGTTTATCCAGGTAGCTGTCTTAGCAAGAAAAGTAAGTACATCCATCACTTCTTGGCCTTTTGGCTAAGATAAGGTGTAGAAAAGTAAATACATCCAGCTCTTTCCCCTTCATGTTTTGATTGGGCTCCAACCTGAAGGTTTCCTTTTCTGGTATGCTATCATCAGACAGTGTTCATAAGTTTTTCACAGGCCCATTATTTTAGAAGTGGGTAACCGATCCTGCTTCCTAGTCAGTCTTAGCCTCGAAGCCCTGCCTACTATAGTGACCCAGCTGATACTGAATCTACAGTCACCACCCATGGAAGCAGGAGTCAAGAAATCAACCTACTTATTTCTTTGGGCAAATTTGCTGCCAGAGACCTCTTTAAAGTGCTAAAGAACAAGGGTGTGAATTTAAAAGCCAAGACGTGGATCACAGCCATTTTTTTTGCAGGCACCTAATTAGCCGAATAAAGATCCAAAGACTTTTTTAAAAACAAAACAAAACACAACAACCAAAAAAACAAACCCCAGAACTAAGATGTATCTAATCCAGGCCATGGCAATTTCAGTTGCTTCATATCCATATGAAGCCGAACTAGTGGCTTAGTTTCCAGCATCATGCAGCATGCAAACCATGACAATACAACAAACTGACAGATGTGAATGGTGTAAAATAATGTTAGTGCAGTTTAGCTTTTAAGAACTACCAGTTTCCTTATGAACAGGTTACATCTTTTATTAATTTTTCTGCCTCCAGCATAGTCCATCTCACTTTGAAAGCACTTGGCCAATGTTGATCTAATCAGAATTTCTGGCTATGTATTCTAATTTTCTGTTCGTTTCCCAACAATGGTTTGAATATGAGAAGAGTTGTTACGGGTTTTTGTGTGGGTTTGGGTTTTTTCTTTGTTTGTTTGTTTTTTAATTGGCATAAAATAAAAGTCTGAACCTGTTTTGGCATCAAGGCAGATTGTTAAGTTGAAGTTCTTAGAAAGAAAGTGCTTTATCCCAAAATTTTGTATATGTTAACCAAAAAGCCAATTAAGTTGTGTTTCAATTCTGTGGTTTCTGTTCTTTGTTTTTAACAGTGAGTGCATAAAAATACAGCCAACTGACATCCAGCCCGACATATTCAGCTATTTGCTGCACATTATGTACACTGGGAAAGGGCCGAAGCAGATTGTGGATCATGGTCGTTTGGAGGAAGGGATTCGATTTCTTCATGCTGACTACCTTTCTCATATTGCGACTGAAATGAATCAGGTGTTCTCACCAGAGACGGTGCAGTCCTCAAATCTGTATGGTATTCAGATCTCAACAACCCAAAAACCAGCTGTCAAGCAAGGGCTGGAAGTCAAAGAAGCTCCTTCCAATAACAGTGGAAACAGAGCCGCTGCCCCAAGTGACCACCCGCAGTTGCAGCTCTCTCTCGCTATCGGGCTGGACGATGGCACTGCAGACCCGCAGAGAGCCCATCCCGCAGCCCAGGCCCTGGAGGAGCACCAGAAGAAGGCCCCAGTCTCCATCAAGCAGGAGAAATGTGACCCAGAATCTGTGATCTCCCAAAGTCACCCTTCACCCTCCTCAGAGGTGACGCGCCCGCCTTTCACTGAAAGCAGCATCAAAATCCACCTATGTCATTACTGTGGGGAACGTTTTGATTCCCGTAACAACCTGCGACAGCACCTGCACACACACGTGTCTGGATCCCTCCCCTTTGGTGTCCCAGCCTCCATTCTGGAAAGTAACGACCTTGGCGAAGTCCATCCACTCAGTGAGAGTAGTGAGGCCCTCGAGTGCCCGAGGCTCGGCTCCTTCATTGTCAAGGAGAATGAGCAGCAGCCCGACCACACTAACCGGGGTCCCTCGGAGCCTTTGCAGATCAGTCAGGTGTCTTTGATCTCCAAAGACACAGAGCCAGTAGAATTAAACTGTAACTTTTCTTTTTCGAGGAAAAGGAAAATCAGCTGTACCATCTGTGGTCATAAATTTCCCCGCAAGAGCCAGTTGCTGGAACACATGTTCATCCACAAAGGTAAATCTTACAGATATAACCGATGTCAAAGGTTCGGGAATACACTGGCCCAGAGATTTCAGCCTTTTTGTGACGGCTGGTCTGATGTCCCCCTGAAAGGTTCTCGCTTGTCTCAAGAACACTTAGACTCATCTTGTGCCTTAGAGCCGGAACTCACACAAGAAAATGTGGACACCATCCTAGTTGAGTAGCAGCATCCTCAAAACTTTTATATCATGAAATAGAAAATTCTCATGGCATATTTTTTTTACTTGTAAATTATTTTCCTCAAGTGCTATTGACTTTTCTTTACCATTTACCCATAGTTTTAGGGTTGTACAAGTTATGTATTTCTATTATGACATATTACATTAATATATGCGTATTAAATTATAAGCTTTAATTAGAGCTGGAACTTTCCATGAATTAAATAGCTATTGAGAAATCAGAAATCTGTGTAGAAATAGGGAAACTGTAGAGTGGGTGATTATTTCTCATATTTCTGTTATTTCAGTTTATAGAGTCAGTAAATTTTAGTGAACTAAAACTGAATATGAAGTAAATTAAATCTACTTTAAAGAATATGCCAGACTACACTTTCGACTGATTCATGTGGATTAAGTCCTTATAAAAGATTATTTCAAAGTACTGGTATTTGGGATATTCGTGCATATAGATAGACCCTCGACAAGATGGATTATTGATATAGTGATATATATCAGACAAAGTGAGGATGGCACAGGATAGGCAAGGTTCTGATCTGTTGTTCACAGGGTCGCTATAAAATGTAGTCCTCTTGAGGGTACCTAAAACCAACAATATAAAGTTATAATGCATACTAAGTCATGCTTAACTTAAAACTACTTTTTACTTACTAGCTCTGTTACTTCGTGTATATTTCTTTCTTAGTACTGCACATACCTCAATTGTAACAAAAAAGTATTTTCCTTAAAAGAGGTGGGAAAACATAAGAGAGATAAAAAATGTTTTAAAGAGAGAATCAGTAGGATATTGTATATGTGTGTGAAAACCTGCTGGAGGGTCAGCTATGGGTCTGTTCCAAATCAACAGTAAATAACTACACACACACACACACACACACACACACACACACACATATACACATACACACACATACGTACACAAGATAAGCACATAAAGAGAAAATTTCAGATAGGCCTGTACCAGCTAACACCTCAGGCTTGTTAACTTAACCTAGAGTATTTTCAGAAAGACCTTAAAGCAATTTAAGATTTTTATAACCAATGATTTATGTAAATTTTAAAAGGAAAATTATAAGATAAACATCAGCTTTCTACCTTCATGTCAAAGTATTTTCAAGGCAGCCTGGGATGATACTAGCTTTCTAAAAATCACTTTTTTTTCTGTTTTTAAAATTTTTCTTAATTTTTATTATTTTTGTGTGTGTGTGTGTGTGTGTGTGTGTGAGTGTACCGTCAAATCAGATCTGACTGGTACAGGAGGAGATTGTCTCTCCTTCCCCAGGAGAGCATCTAGTGGATTCGAACCGTGTGCCTCTGGGATAAAAATCACTTTTAAAAAGTCATTTTTTGTGGCACAGTTAAGATACCTTCAGTATTCTAGAAGTATGTTGAAGACCTGTGGTTCTAGGTTGCCCTCTGTGAGTAAACTGAACTCCCTTTTATAATGTTAGAACTTACAAAGCTAAAATACCAGAAAAAGTTAATGGAATAAATGAGATATTATCTTTTTTCTGAGCTTCTGGGAAATGGCTGGGCAAACTCCACCATTAAAAAATGGGATCAAAATTGTTTCTAAATTTAAAATTTCAAATAGATGGCCAGGACTATCAAAGAGAGGGTTTAAAATAACCTCATGTGTTTTATATACTGCTCTACTGTTAAATTATAAATCTTGTGAATATTTCTGGTTGTGAGGCTTGGAATTTAACTGCACATAAAAACTCTACACCTAAAATATAAAGTCTTGTCTGACTGCCCACTTCTGAGGACATTTTCTGACACACTCAGCAGCACCCACCAGTGTTCAGTCAGGTGTGCGCACAAACCCAGCTAATTCCTGCAACGAGAAGGTTTTCTCTAGGTAAATGGTGAGCTTGAGTGAATTAAAAAGAGGCGTGAAGGAAAGATTGGTAAGCAGGATGGGAGTTGAACTGACCCAGAAAAATGAGCAAAGCCTTTTGGGAATCAAAATTATGTAAGGAGAGCAAATGCAGCTCTGGATAAAGGATCAGGTGCGTTGAAGTGATGAAAACAAATGTGTTAGAACTTCGTGCCGTCTAAACCTTTTTTCTCCCGAGTCATTTAAGTAAGTATTTATTCAAACTCAAGACTGCCCTCAGAGATTTCATCTCCTATGTATCTGTGCCAAACTTAATTACTTGCTAGGTATCGCTCCAGATGCAACTGGCATTAACTGTCACCAACGCCTCTGTTTTATACCAAAGAGATTTTGTCAGATTAGATTAAATGTCAACTCAAAATACTTTAAAAGAAGCGAACATTATAAAAACGTATAGAGTAAAAATGTCCAATGGAGCTATCTTCAAAATACAAGCATGCAGCTATTACCAACTGATTTCATGCATCTTAGGCTATTCAAGATAAACTCAGTAGGCCACTTTTGAGAAAGACTTTTTGTGTTCTTATTAAGGTAACAGTGCTCCTGGTTGGTGTTTTCCCCCACTTGCTCAGTCAACAGTCCTTGACACAGGAACAGTGTGGCGAGTGGGTGGGGAAATAAGGGTGGCAATAGGCTGTTAACCAAGTCAGCCAGTGACTACTCTAAGGGAGAAAAATGGGTACCTCCTCCCGCAACAACCTACAGCCTCAGAAACCCCAGGGGAAATGGGAAAGAGTTTGCCTGTGGCCAATTTACCATGACAGACAACACTCATTTCAAGTAGTAGTTTGGGTCTATTGGAAATTAAGAAAAGAATGATTTAGCTACATTTTTATTCTTGTTCATATTATTCCTTTTATTACTAGAAATTCAAAGCAAATGCTCTCCTTAAAATATTCTCTGTTGTAGCAAGTTTGTTGTTGTTAAGTGCCGTCTAGTCATAGAGGACTCATAGCGACCCTATGAACAAAAGATCTGAACACTTGTATAACTTTCATCCTTTCTCTAAGTTCACAGAGTTTCCAGAGACAAGCTATTTCAGAAGTGGATGCCACTACTGGATGCATGTTAACTTTATTTTACAAAATGAAATGATAATAATCCAAACACTATTTCAGAGCAAGTGTATGGGGGGAATGGGGCAGAACCCAGCTTTATTTTCTTATTTATTATTCAGTGGGTATTTTAAATATGTTTCACAAGCCTAACACTGTGTCCTGAGTCTATTTTTTTAAGACATGATTTCTCACTAAGAAAATGGACTTTGTCTAAATGAAATTCTTCTTACCTAAACTCTTTGGCTTGGACTAAATCATCCACAAAAATGGAGTTGTGATCTTAGCCGGTGTCCTAATAATGTAATGTGCTTTGCATAATGATTACCAAACTTGTAAAACTGGAAATGCTATGTGCACTTTCAACAACATACCAAACCAATACTAAACAGCCATTTCTTCCTTGTATCAGCTTAAAATTTTCCCTACTTTTTACATTTAACATCCTTATTTTCTTGAGAAAAAGAGGCTTTTTGGAGTATTTGTCCTTATTAACATTTGTCAGAAATCAGTATCTGACAAGTTCAGTCTGCCTTATATGATAACCAAAAATTTGTGACTTGGTATTTTTATGCTTTGCTCTGACTTTCTCATTTCAGATTTATAAAGTAGGTGCCTCACAAGGATCTTGTGAGGATGTGTATTAAAACGTGTTGAGTTCACTGACTAGTTACCGATAAAAGCAGCTAGATAACAAAAATTACATTTATTCAGTAGCTAAACCTATTAACTTCAGTGTTCCATTCTGTAAGTTCTAGTATGTATGAGAAGCAGCCATGTACTATTTAATAATCACTAATTGGAAAAAGAAATCATTTTACTTTTTAGAAATACAAAAAGTAGTGGTGCTGGAATCCTAATTTAGGCCATTGCTTCTCATCAGTCTTTAGTGATGGTGAAATTGTTAGTTTTTTGGTTTTAGGACTAAAGCCTTGCTAATTTCAGGTTTATGGAAGGTCTCCCCAAATAGACTATTTACCATAGGGGAAAATATTTTTAAAACCTTGAAGAAATATTTTCATTTCTTTCACCTTGGCGATCTGAACAGTGGCATGGGGCAGGAAGGGGAGCAGGGATAACAGTCATTTGTTACGTGCTTTTAAAATCATGTTGGGGGAAAAAAAGGCTTCACTTAAAACTGAAGGAAATTAATCATGTAAAGAATTCTTCTGGTTCTATTAAAGGTTATGTGCACAGGCAAATTCTTGATGTTGTAACTCAAACTTTCGATGATAAGACTTGGTGTTTTGTAGTAACTAATGTAAAATAGTTCTCTTAATAATGTAACTGGTATCTTTGTATGTTTCAGATTAAATGTAACTGTGGCATTATAATTTAAAAACATTTTAAGAGTGAAATTATCAATGGCTATTTTCTGCTGTAGTTCTGTGTTTGTATTGTTGGACTTCTAAAAAACTGATGAGGGTACATGATCCTCAAACCTAGATGTCTTAAATTCAAGTAATTAGAAACTGTCACTTTTGTCTTCAAGGCTCGGAAGAATCAAGAATCACTTGTCTTCAGTATGTATCTGTATCACATTTGATTAGTCAGTAGATAGCACCCTGGAAGCAACGGGCTTTTAACTGTAACCAACACCTCTGTTTTATGCCAAAGTCAAATTAGATTATTTTAAAGTACTTTAAAAGAAACTTGGATTACAAAACTGTATAATATAAAATGGGTCCACTGAAGACATTTTCAAAATTAAAGTAACATGGCAAATACAGTAGACTAAAATCAGTAATGTGCTGTTATGATCAAACTCTCTCACCTGTTGCTGTGAATTTGCAGTGGATTTCATGTTTTTTTTATCATGACAAATAAATTAATGTAACCTGATCATAATCAAAATATCTTTTTATAGATTGTGTTCTTATTTTTCGACAGTGTTGCCTAGTGTGTTGAAGGAAGTAATCCCTGTGCTCTGTAGCATTTTGGATGTTGTGATACAAAACATACCACTGAGCCCATTTCTTGTCCCCATAATGTGTGTTAATTGGAAATAGACGTCCTAATCATTCTAGAGAGCTCTAGTGGCTTAGTGGTAAGAAACTGCACTGCCAACCCAATCCACCAGCTGCTCCCCAGGAGAAAGATGGACAGTCTCC